GCAAGGCAGAAGAGAAGGTTAGAGAAGAAAGGTGAGGGCAAGGTAGACTAGAGTGTTCCAAGGGCAAGCCAATGGTCTATGCTAGGAAGACTAGTGAGCGTTCCAAGGACAAGCTAAAGGTCCAGACAAGCCAGACCAGACAGTGTCCCAAGGACAAGCCAAAGGTGTTCCAAAATAACAGGAATGAATGTCTCTTGTAAAAATGATTCTATTTCGGAGGTCCTACATGGCAACTGTCCAGGATTGGAGCTTAAAAGCTTCCTCATTTACAGAAGACGTCGGGTCTTCAGCACACTTTCTATGTCTGGTGACCTCCACGTGCATTAATCTCTCTGCTTTCTAATTTTTACTTTTTACTTTGTAACTCTTCCCTTCTAAATAAACTTTCAAAGTAAGCAGAGGTTGCTGATTTCTATATCATGATATTGCTTTCCTGAGCTAAATCATGTGCCCCTCTTAAAGGAGAACTATGAGGTGAGCAAAAATCACTCAGCCTCATAGTTCGAGCCAACGTGTGACAATGAAACTGTTTTTCGGTATCGAGTACGGGTACCGATATATAATTTTTCAGTATTCGCCAATAGGTTTTTCGGTATCGAGTACGGGTATCAATATATATTTTTTTCGGTATTCGCCAATTCCAAATCCTGATACCGGAAGTCCCATTAGGGAAGCCACGCAGCGTGTAATGACTTGCAGCCCGGCTTCCTGATTAGCTGGGAGGGAAGCTGGCTCCATGCTTCCTCATCACCAGGTGACGATGGAGCATGTAGCCGGCTTTCTGGCCGATCAGGAAGCTGGGGGACGGGTAATGACTCGTCGCCCAGCTTCCTGAGTGGTCAGCTTCCCAACCAATCGGGAAGCCGGGCGGCAAGTCATTACACGCCGCCTGTCTTCCTGATTGGCCGGGAAGCTGACTCCATGCTCCCTCATCACCAAGAAGTTCCGGTATCGCGATAAGCATTGGGAGCATTTGGGTGAGTACACAGCCGGTATACAGAAAAAGGGTTGGTCCAGGCAGCAGTCAGAGACAGAGAACAGGCCCATGTTCGTATATACGGGAAGGTAATGCATGCACAGAGTGAAGGAGTTCGGAGGCAATCTGAATATGGCTCAGGCACTGGGTGCTAGGAAGCAGCTCCTCTCTGATTGCATCATTGACTGTGCCACCGAGGAGCACAGAGGTGTTGCCAGTTGTTGTTTGTTGCCACTTATTACAGCAGCAATGGTGGGTTTTCAGTCCTATACAATCTATTGTGCCCTGAGAGAGCTTTGCCCACGGTTGTGCCCTTGGCCCATAGATATAAGATCGTCATCAGAACTTTGTGCAAGACATGTTGGGATTTGTAGTTCCCCGTCAACTTTAATGTTTTGTTATTATTTCGTATATGACATCTTGAAGCCACTTACCTGTTATTTCAAAAGAGATTGACAGGTACGGCGCCTCGCTGGACTTCGATGTGCTGTGCGAATGGCTGTCTGAAATAAAAGATTCAAGCAGATAGAAATATAATGACAAGGTTTGCAATCAACTTATTTCAAGAGACGAAAACTGTAGCAATTTTTACCCGAATGTCAGAGATTCAATAACGATGAGATTCGCCCTTTTCATACTTTTACCTCTGTTATATTCTGACCTCACTTACTTTTCTCTGCTACTTCCTCTCTCGCTGTTTCCTTTTTACAGGCCATAGGTGCTCTTATGTGTGTAGGCACATGAACTAGACTGGAACAACGCTAACCCCATTGGTTGTGGTCACCAGGACAGGAAGTAGGGGGAGAATCCCCAATGGGAATACAAACCACAATAAAAACATGAAATGTAACTATTTAATAAATAAATAATTAATAAATAAATAAAACATATTCATATTTATTTATATTATTTGACTATATACAGTGGTACCACGGTTCACGAACGCCTCTGTTCACAAACAATTCGGTTCGCGACCAGGAAGTTTGTCAAAATTTTGCCTCTGTTTGCGAACTCTGCCTCGGGTTACAAACCCGACCGCGTCCATCTTCCCCGATCTGACACATGGTGGTGGCTTCCTGTACTCGAGATTGCGGTCGCAGAAAGGGCTGTGGACACTTACTGTTAAGCTTTTTTGTGTGCTGTACAGTACTGTACAGTATTACTGTATTCAATCCAGCATGGCTCCCAAGAATGTGCAGAGCGTTAATGAAGGTGACAAGAATGTGCAGAGCGTTAATGAAGGTGACAAGAATGTGCAGAGCGTTATTGAAGGTGACAAGAATGTGCAGAGCGTTAATGAAGGTGACAAGAATGTGCAGAGCAAGAATGGTGGTAAAAAGAAACTTGAGGTCAAATTTTTTTTTTTCATATGGTTCAGAACAGATTATGTGATTCGGTTCACAACCAATTCGGTTCGCGACCAGAATCGTGGAACCAATTAAGTTTGTGAACCGAGGTACCACTGTGTATATATAGATATCTATATATAGATCTATATATAGATATCTATATATATATAGCTATATATACACACACACACATATATAATCTTTTTTTTTTGCAATATCTGTATATGCAAAATAATACCTGTTGATTCTGCCATGAATCTTGATAACTTCCCCTGCTGTATTCTTCAGCTATTTCTGTGAACTACAAACCCCCCACATTATGGAGGATGAGAGGAGGACGTGTTCTGTAGTCCTGTCCAAGGTTACTGCTCCACCATAGATAATGGGCGACATGCGGCAAACGTGGAAAAGAACGTTCAGAAACTTGTCGGGTGTTCCCGTTTTTCTAGGTTTAAATAAAAAAACTTGATCCTTTGTCCTGCCTGGCTACCAGGCTGATCTCCGCAGTCTCTGCTCCCCCAGGCTCCGACGGCCTAAGGAGCCGTGTCATCGCGTCCATTCACTTGCACTGGACGTCAGGACACTGAGGGCCATTCCGCGGCCGAAGTGGAGGGGAAAAGAGTCTATGGGGAGCGGTCTAGCAGCCAGGTAGGACATGGGATCAGGTGAGTATTTCTGTCTTTTATTTTAGCCCCAAGACCAAAATGACCACTTAACCCTTGAAGTCCAGGGGGGGTTACCCCACTGCAAGGGTTCAGGTAACACAAAACCTTTAGCTCTATACAGCTCCGTACCAACGTTCAGAATCCACCTCTACCTATCGGAAAATGAATTCTGCGGCCAAGTAAAAGGCACTTTACGGAATATCTGCATTTGGCGTTATCAGCGCTCAGCACAGGAGGAGTTGATTAGCGGCAGGCACGACACCGGATGATTGATCAAAGCCTTATTTGATGAAAGTGTGCATAATTGTGTCCACATTACCATACGCGATACTCTCAAGCTGATATCTGCCGCTTTGTCATTGGGGAACGCCGAGAGCGCTCGCTTCTCTTTTTTCATTCCGCTCTGCGATATTCATTTTTATTTGGGGGATGAATATGGGGATTAGCCCGGAACGCGGAGCCGGGAAGCTGTGAAAGGTCCTCGCTCTCCCCTGTGATGTGTTTGGTTTATTTAATTCAACCCGTCTGACAGCAGATGTATACAAGGATGCCGAGCGGCTGATTAGAAATTCGGCAGGGTCAGGGATGTTAGGAAGTCTCTTCTATGTGACCGGGGAAGCTGTCAATCCAAAGATATGGAAATCTCTGCTGACGTTTTATTTGAAGCTGAACTCCAGGCAAACAGCTATTTACACAGATGAAATACATATGAGGGAGCTGGATTTACTTGCCAGAGTATTTGCATCCCTGTCCATCCAGTTCCGAGATATGTACAGCCCCGTCAACCAGCCGGGAGGATGACAATGCTTACAGTTAAAGCTGGACTCCAGACCAAGACCAGGGCCGGATTGACTCTCTCTGCTGCCCCAAGGCCAGGTTCCTCAATGCTCCCCTCTCCCCACCAAACCCCCCCAATGGAGAATGGCAACCAAATGTTGGGGGCGGCAGGGTTAGTTCATTTTATTTTATTTTTTTGTTACTTTTTATCACTTTTTAAATTTTTTAAACTTTTTTTAAATTTGTATTTATTCATCTTTTACTGTTTTTATTATTTATAATTTGTTTCTCTTATTTATTTATTTTTACTTTTTATCACTTTTTTTTTACATTTTACTTACTTTTGTTATTTATTTATTTAAATATTTTTTATCTATTTTTTTTCACTTAACTTTATTGCTATCACACAGGAGAAGCAGTTTTACTTACCAGAGCCCTGCTCTCCCGGCAGTTAGCAATCTCCTTGTGTCCCCCATGCTCCTGCTTGTGGGCTGTCCCTCAGTGTCCTCATGTATAATGTAGGGCTATGGGCCCTGCATTAGTTGAGATGATATCAGCGGGCCCCGAACTGCCAGGGGGGGGGAAGTCTGCGGGTGCCAGTCATGGAGTCTGCCGGAGCAGGGATTAGATAACTAGAAGTTCTTTACCCAGCTACCCTATCCCTAAATGAACAGTCTGCAAGTAGGGTTTTTTTTTAAGGCTTTAACGAATCAGGGCCATAGTGTTTTTGAAGATATAAAGAACAAATTTCACCCTGCGACTTGTCACATTTACCACAAAACAAAAATGATGTTACTGCCAAAATGCAAGTTTAAAAAATAAATAAAAACAAAGGTGATGTAATTTTAAGAAATGTGTGTAACACAACCCTGCAAATGAACGTATCGGAAAAGAATAGATACATTATTTGTCACATGCACGTATGTACTTCTCTCTTCTTCCTTGATAACGTTCTATATATTGAAACCAGGTGCTGTTGGTCAGTTTTATAAAATTGCAATTAGTTTGTAAGCTTAGCTTTCAGTCCCGCCCCTGAGGAGCCCATTCTGTTTAAGTTCACTATACCACATCCATGTTTTGAACAAAGTGTACCTTCATTTTTATATATCACTACCCCCCAACCCCTCCCAGGGATCCTACAGGATTCAAGAAGTAGAGTGTGTGTTTAAAAATTCATTCACCTTTACTGATAATTACCACATATCAAATAAACACATTAAACAATGGATGTACCTTCTTTGTCCTTCACTGTGTTGAGGTATGAAAGGAGGTTTTCATCGGCTTGTACGCAGTAGATCTCTCGGGTCTGGATCCCTCCCCCGCACAGGGCTGTCTGGTTCCCCCTCCTCTTGTCCTGTTGGCTAAGCACCGGGTCCACCCGACACTCTGTCCATTCTGTGGCTCTCCAGGCATACCTTAATGACAGATTGCACACATCAGATAATGACGTATTTGTTCCTTGGCTGTATATTTAAAAAGGGCCTGTCATCTTCTTAATAAAGCCCTCCATACACAGTTCTTCATGGGCTGGGTACTTAGATGCAATAGCAGGTTTTTGAAGCCCGCAGGGTTACAATTCTTGCAGGATCTAGGATAGTATAGCAATTGGAAGGCAGTAGGCGTATTTTATTTCAATGGCAAAGGCTAGAATATTTACATCAAACTCTTGACCTTAAGCCGAATTACACTATATTGCCAAAAGTATTGGGACACCCCTCCTAATCATTGGATTCACCTCCATGGCCACAGGTGTATAGAATTGCTCATCTCGGCATGCAGACCCTTCTACAAACATTTGTGAAAGAATGCGTCGCTCTCAGGAGCTCAGCGAATCCAAGCGTGGTACCGTGATAGGTTGCCACCTGTGCAATAAGTCCATCCATGAAATTTCCTTGCTACTAAATATTCCGCGGTCACCTGTTACTGGGATTAGAACAAACTGGAAGCAACTGGGAACAACAGCAACTCAGCCACAAAGAGTTAGGCCACGTAACATGACAGAGCGTGGTCAGCGCATGCTGTAGCGCACAGTGCACAGAAGTCGGCAACTGTCTGCAGAGTCGATAGCTACAGACCTCCAAACTTCGTGTGGCCTTCAGATTGGCACAACAACAGTGCGTAGAGAGCTTCATGAAATGGGTTTCCATGGCCGAGCAGCTGCATCCAAGCCGTACATCACCAAGTGCAATGCAAAGCGTGGGATGCAGTGGTGTAAAGCACGCCGCCACTGGACTCTACAGAAGTGGAGACGTGTTCTCTGGAGTGACCAATCACGCTTCTCTGTCCGGCAATACAATGGATGTGTCTGGGTTTGCCAGTTGCCAGGAGAACGGTACTTGCTTGACTGCATTGTGCCAAGTGTAAAGTTTGATGGAGGGGGGATTATGGTGTGTGGTTGTTTCTCAGGGTTTGGGCTTGGCACTTTAGTTCCAGTGAAGTGAACTCTTAAGGCATCAGTATACCAAGACATTTTGGACAATTTCATGCTCCCAACTTTGTGGGAACAGTTCGGGGATGGCCCCTTCCTGTTCCAACATGACTGCGCACCACTGCACAAAGCAAGGTCCATAATGACATGGATGAGCGAGTTTGGGGTGGAGGAACTTGACTGGTCTCCACAGAGTCCTGACCTCAACCCGATAGAACATCTTTGGGATGAATTAGAGTGGAGACTGCTAGCCCGGCCTTTTCCCAGAAGAGTCAAAGCTGTTATAGCTGAAAAGGGAAGAGTCAACTCAATATTGAACCCTACGGACTAAGACTGGGATGACATTAAAGTTAATGTGCGTGTAAAGGCGTCCCAATACTTTTGGCAATACAGTGTATTTCTATGATCTTTTGCCTGCTGAGGGCCAGAGAGGGACCAAGGAGGCAAATGCCCCAAGGACACTTTTATTTTCACAATTAACAGCAGTACTGAGCCGTGGAGAAGAGGGCCGATGCACTAAAGCATAATATTTTCATTACCGTGTGTTATTTTCAAAATATGGCAAAGCAAAATGATTTTTTTTTTTCCAATTCACTAAAGATTTTATTACACGATCAGCTGAATTCGTTGCATACATATTAAATGGTCGGCTTTTGCAGTATTTTGTATGGATTTTGTTATCTTTTGCCGCTGAACAATATTTATATAGCACCAACAATTTACACAGGACATCAGTCCCTGCCCTCAAAGAGCTCACAATCTGAGGTCCCAATCTCACATCCAAAAATAAAACATTAAAAAAAAACTACACTTGAAATAAAAAATGTGGGAATTTTTTACTGGTAAGACCCTTGATGACAGCTCCCAAATAAGAGGAAAATAAATGTCAAAGCTTATATCTGTAAAAAAAATAAGTCAAGGCAACTGAACTTGCTGTATTTTTCTTGAAGACATTTGACTGGTCATCCAACCAGCTTTCTCAATTCAGAATGACTTGTACCTCTCTCTGGGCAATGATACCTCCCAAACTCCAATTATGCAAATGCAATCAACACCTGTTTGTGACTAACAGATTATGTGGATTAGAGCGACACTCACCAGATATTTTTTTGTCATTCTGAATTGAGAAAGCTGGTTGGATGACCAGTGAAATGTCTTCAAGAAAAATACAGCAAGTCCAGTTGCATTGACTTATTTTTTACAGATATACCATGACCTGGATGAATGAGAACCTTCATTCAAAGCTTATATTTACAAACTTGCTTAATTTTCCTGGATATACACTGCCCAGCCAAAAAAAAGTCCCACACTCTAATATCTCCTTCGACCGCCTTAAGCTTTGATTACGGCACACATTGGCCGTGGCATCATTTCCATAAGCTTATACTTTTTCACCAAGATCTTGTAGTGATAGTGGGAGAGTCGGACCTCTGCGTAACGTCTTCTCCAGCACATCCCAAAGATTCTCAATGGGGTTAAGGTCTGGACTCTGTGGTGGCCAATCCATGTGTGACAATGATGTCTCATGCTCCCTGAATCACTCTTCCACAATCTGAGCCCGATGAGTCCCGGCATTGTTATCTTGGAATATGCCCAATGTGCCATCAGGGAAGAAAAAATTAATTGATGGAAAAACCTGTATATTCAGGGAGGCAGCTGACCTCATTTTTTGGGGACATAGCGTTGCTGAACCTAGACCTGACCAACTGAAGCAACCCCAGATCATAACAATGCCTGAAATCCAGGGGGTGATTTTTTTTGACCAGGCAGTGTATTAAAAGAGCTGATGAATGTTTAGCTTTCTTCATTTCACTCCTTCACAGCCTTACATTTAGGCTAGCCATACACTCAGCATAAATAGTATGGAATAGTATCTCTGCTGGGCCAACAATTTTCCACCTGGTTGGGCAGGCCAACCATGGGTTGAAATTCAAGCCATGTATGGCCAGCTTAAGTCACAATATAGTCACTGCAGTAGCTATAGGAAAAGAGTGTTGGGGGATTGGGTAAGAGGAGGTTTATTGATTTATTAATTACAGATATTTATATAGCACTGACAATTTACTGCTGTACTTTCACATCAGTCCCTGCCCCCAAGGAGCTTACTATCTAAGGTCTCTATCTCACACACCGACAGGGCAAATTTAGATAGGAGACAATTAACATACCAGCATGTCTTTGGAGGGTGTAAAGAAACCCTTTTAAGAGGGAGACCCCTTACATGGAGTTTCCTTCCCATTAGGAGCCCCCTTTGCATCAGAGTTCTCAGGAAGTGCCCACCTTCATCTTCACCATGGTGCAGCCATGGCAGCATGGCAGAGGCTGGGAGGTGGAGTATGTCTGGATGGAGGTAGACTTCTTTCTTCTTCTGAACGCCAGACGAGGTCCTGGATGCAGCCCTATATGGACTAGTGTCATGTGTTTTCCATGTTGCTTGTACCCAGCTCACCTACACCAGTGAAATGCATGACATGGTCCAAAAATTTGAAGCTACCTGTGACAAAGCTAGAAGGTACCCCAGGAAGCCCAGAACCCTGGTTGAGGAAGGTTGCTCAACAGGTTAGTGAGAACCTGAATGGTATTCTTTCAAGCCCAACTGTTTAACATGCATTCTAATGGTCCTAATCTCTCCGCTCGACATGCCCATTGCCCTGAGAAGCACAGTTTATTGGAGCAATAAATATGGATATCTAAAAAAAAACCTAATATTTTCTATTGCAAGGGTTAATTTACCCTGTGCTAGAGAGCCAGGGCACTGGTCAACACAGAAGGCAACAGTTCAGGTCTTCAGAAGACTTGGACTGTTGCCTTCTGTGTTGAGCAGTGCCCTGGTCTTCTGGGGTCCAACACAACCCTTGCCCAAGGGTTGTGTTGGACCCCAGAAGACTTGGACAGTTGCCTTCTGTGTTGAGCAGTGCCCTGGCTCTCTAGCACAGGGTAAATTAACCCTTGCAATAGAAAATATTAGGTTTTTTTTAAGGTGTCCATATGTAATACCATTTATTAAGCATGACTGTATTACGGCAATAATATAGGACGGTTCAATTGAGCTTCAAATTCTCTAGGGAGCTTTTGGCCTTCAATCATTATAGAGAAGAATTTTCCCTTCCATGACCCAAGATGAACACATGGTAACCAGGAAACACAGCTAAATATTGGTCCATTGCTAATGCATTGTGATCTCCACTTGTACGCGTTCTGCAAGATCTCTAGAGCGCAAATTATAAAATATTTTAAACTACCATAAATCTGTTGCATGTTACAGAGTGAAAAACACGTTTGCTCTTGTCAGTATGATTTTCATATGGTGAATACCTGGCAGGAACTATGTCCCGTGTACAGTACATATGAAACAGAATAATGCAGAACATTTTCTTTAGGAATCCCTGAGCTATGAATTTTTCATGTGACTGCGGAGACGGCATGGTAAAGGCGGGAAACGGTGATGTGATTTTTAATTTATACTCACCTCAGGCATCTGTGTCTCTAACAAAACAGAGTTTGTCAGGTAGAAAGATTCTCAGTGACTAAAGTAAGCAAGTTCTTAGCTATGAAAATAAAGGCAAGCCGGCAATTTATACACAAGGTGCACAATCTGGTGACTGTTCTATTTCCTGCATATCAGAGATGAACATGGTCACCAAAGGGCCCATGTGTGAGGACAGCTTTGGGACCCCCATTTAACTACTGTCCAGGTACAAATACTTATTTACTGTTAAAGATAGGACAGAGGGGGGAAAGAGAGAGAGAGAGAGAGAGAGAGAGAGAAGGACTGAAGGAAGGAAGATTCAGACCTCCGCTCAACTACTGGTGAAGTATAAACTCTTACTCACTGTGCAAGAGAAGAGATGAGAAGGGAAAGGAATGGAAGGCAGGGGAGAGGAGAGAGGAAGGGAAGGTAAGGGAGGGGAAGGAGGAAAGAGAAGAAAAGGCAAGGGAAAGGAATGGAAGGAAGGCAGAAAAGAGAAGAAGGGGAGAGAAGAGAAGAGATGGGGAAGGAGTGAGTAGAGAAGAGACGAAAAGAGAAGAGTAGTGAAGAAGGCGGGAGAAGAGAAGAGGAGAGGTGACAATAGGAGGAAGAGAGAAGAGAAAAAGGGGAGGGAAGAAAAGAGATGGGGAGGAGACAGTAGAGAAGAGACGAACAGAGAAGAGAACAGAAGAGAAGGGAAGAGAAGGGGGGGAGTGAGCAGGGGCGTATCTGCCGCGAGGCAAACAAGGCGTTTGCCTCGGGCGGCAGATTCCGGCAGGGCGGCAAATGTACCGACCCACTACAGATATGAAAGGGGCCTTATTGTGAGTGTATATTAGTGTCTGTAGTACCAAACCGGATATAGTTATATTTTATTTTAAAGTATGAAATTTGTCAAGCAGCCCCCAAGAGAGAAAAAATGTGTCGAGTGAAGGTCTCAGGTGGGCTTTGCAGGGTCTATGGCGGGCTCTGGAGGGTCTCAGGTGGGCTTGGCAGCCTGAGACCCTGCAGAGCCCACCAGAGATCCTTCACAGCCCACCTGAGACCCTGTAGAGCCCACCACAGATCATGTAGAGCCCACCATAGATCATGTAGAGCCCACCACAGACCCTGCAGAGCCTACCTGAGACCACAGCCGGGTGGGGTAAATTTAGTGTGTGTGGGGGATGGGGGGGTATGCCCGAGTTTTGTCTTGCCTAGGGCAGCCCCAAACCTAAATACACCACTGGGAGTGAGGAGGAGAGAGGAAAAAAGGGAATTGGACCCCCATTCACCTAATTCCCCAATACAAACTCTTATTCACTTAGAAGGAGAGAGAATGAGATAGAGAGAGACTGAATAAAGAGGGAGAGGAGAGAAAATAAAAAGGAGACTGGAGAAGAAAAAAGTAAAGGTGGTTGGGCTCTCATTCAACTACTGCCCAAGTCAGTGGCGTCACAAGGGGGGTACGGCCCACCCCCAGGTGTCACCATTGCAGGAGTGACACCAAAATGACTGACAGTCATGACGGTCTAAAAAGTCGGGCACTCGGTCATTGACCGAGAGCCCGACAGTGTCAGGAGAGAGGAGGGGACACGGGGGCATACCTCATCCCGCCAGGTGAACGTCCCCTCCTCTCTCTGCCGGCAACCATCACCAAGATGGCCGCCAGCAGACATCAATCAGATGGTCGCGCATTCGCGATGACGACATGGCGGGGTGTGACCCGGTCTAGAGATCGGGTGACACGCGACCTCGGGATGCCCCTGGCCCAAGTACAAACATTCTTTGTGAAAGATATATGGGATGGGGTACAGATAGGAGAGAAGAGGCTAAGGGTGGAGTTGGAACCCTACTAAACTAGTGCCCAAGTACTGTGAAAGTTGGGTAGATAGATAGATAGATAGATAGATAGATAGATAGATAGATAGATAGATAGATAGATAGATAGGTAGATTATAGATAGATAGATCAACACATCAGCAGCAATTAGGAAGCCGAGCCTGCATATGTAATGAACACATATGGCTGCCCCCATCCATACATTACATTGGACAAGTGAATAAAAGCCAACAGTAGTTTTTGAATTGTTGAAGAAAACCAAGAACACAGAAGAAACACACAAACATAGAGAGAATATACAAACTCCATGGTTTTAGAAACCCTGATGAGAACCATTAAATCCCAACAAGGCCGTCAGCCACTAGGTCACAGAGCTGCCAAATATATAGAACAATTAAATTTTGTCTTTCAGCTTTCTTCAGCCCATTACTTACTTTACACATGCAAGAAGCCCATCAGCTGAAGGTGTGCACGTCTCCGTCTCTTCCAGTTCCGGGCACTCGTTAGCACTGCCAATCGGGAACTGTTTAATGGTTCTTTTCCTGGTGCGGTGTCCACTAGGCGGGACAGACTCGCAGGACTTTGCACACGAGCTCCATTCTGACCACTCAGTCACCTGGCAATCCTTGTCCACCGCGCAGGACTGGAACGTGATCGGCAGCTTCTCCTGCTGGCAAAAGCTAAAGGAAAGATGCAGTGTTGTTAGATTCTTCTTATGGATATAAAACGATTTAAAAATTTGTTTTTAGAAACAGGAAAATCTGTAAAAAATGAATCAAGCCAACTGGACTTGCTGTATTTTTCTTGATGTTTCAATGGTCACCTGACTAGCTTTGTCAATTCTGAATTAGAAAAGCTAGTTGGATGACCAGCGAAACGTCTTCAAGAAAAATACAGCAAGTGCAGTTGCCTTGATGTATTTTTTACATGAATGGTGAATGAGAACCTTCACAGAAACAGGAAGTCATTGCAATTAAATTATCACATGGTACAATTTGCCAGATTCACAAAAATAAATGTATAGTTACATAATATTCAGACTGAAACAAAAAAACAAGTCCATTGAGTTCAACCAAAAGATAAACATTCTGACTCCGCTTGTTGTATTAGCGATTTATCCCTTGCTGAGAGCTCTATGCCTGGCCTGTATAAGCAGATATAATCACTGCGGACAATCCTTATCAGAGAGCTGAACTCACCAAATACCTTTTCATCCATTAATTGCTTTATTGTTTGCAGCAGGTTACAGCAGATGATAAAAATGATGATATTTGCAGGTCAGAGATGGTAATGTTTCCAAGCATGCAAGCAGATTAATAAGTGGCCATGTTACAGTCAGCCAACAAGAAGGAAGTGCATCTCACACAATGGGAGGGAATACAGAAAAACATGCCGCAATAACCAAAACGACCACAAGATGTCAGTATAATAGCCAGCTATACTAACACCAAAGCAAATGGCTTAAAGAAGAACTATGGGGTTAGGGCTTTTCCCCATAGTTCTCCTTAGGGTAACGGGAGGACACAAACTAGCATCCTCCAGTCACCCTAAGCTCAGTATACCGCGAGCTACAGCTAGCGGTATACTGAGACGCCGCAGCTGACGCGGATCCCGACAATTATGTCTGGATCCGCCCATCTGCGTGAGTGACAGCTGGCTCTGCCTATCTAGAGGCAGAGCCAGCTGTACTCGCCCCTCCCACGTCCGTTCCGCCAGTCAGCGCTGGAGGATCGGAGTGGGGAGGGGGGAATCCAGCCCCTCCCCTGTCACGGCAGAGAGCCATGACAGGTATGAGAAGTGAGCGAACGCCAGTATGTGTTCGCTCACATGCCGATCTACTGAGCCGACCTGTGACAGTCTCATTGTCACAGGTCGGCTAGAACTATGAGGTGAGTGAAAATCACTCACCTCATAGTTCTCCTTTAACGAAAATAACTATATAAATTCTCACTTCACATTAATATGAATATTATATTTGATCCATATTTTAGGCGGTATGAGCGCTATGAGCAGTTCTGGGAGCATGACTTACCTGAGGCTATGCAGGGATATTGTATATGGCTCCAATACTACCCTTATAAAGGGAATAAATCTTTTGTTTTTGTGTTTGCATGTCATCATTACCATCTCATGATGGTAATGATGACATGCAAATACATTCTGTTTTATGAAGGCAATTCTGTACCTCCCATTACAAAACAGACAAACAGAATGCATTAGCTGCGAGCATCGTACTATATCTCTGCCAGAAAGCCTCAGAGACGTGTGCCACTTTACTTTGCCAGGCGTGATTAGGACAACAGCGATATTCATGAAAATTAAATCCCAGAAAAGAATCATTGTAATCCACGTTTTCTAAAAATCGCTCTGCAGTCCAAATCCGGAGTCATTGGCAGTTATAAAGTAAATGTCCCATGCAGCTCAAAGGGTTTATATATTCGCTTTCACCTTCCAAATATTCAGCTACATTCAAAGAGGCTTCAAAATGGGGAAACTTTTCATAATTTTCTAAGCTTTCCGACTTTTTGCCCACTGCTGGATTTAAAAGGGAGTACTCATTTAAATGGCTCAGTACACACGCAAGTGTTTTGTTAGGCAGTGCTTTACGCTGTGCTAACCCAGTCACTGCATGCAGTATTCTCTCACTGATTTCAATTGCTTTTTGGCTGTCACCTGTAGACATGTAAGCTGCGTGAAAATTCGGTTCGGTTCAGATACTTCGCAATTTGGGATTCGGATTCAAAATTCAATTTGGTTCGGGTTTTGGATTTGGATGTAATCCGAATATCGTTAGTTTCGGATGAGTTTACGAATATTCGTTGCTAATACCACAGAAAAACATACACAGATATTAATACTAAAGCTGAATCTCCCAGATCCGAATGGCATTCGGGATACGAATTCGGGAGCATTCGGGAGCTCTCCAAAGCCATTCGGGTCTGGGAGCCATATACATACATTACTAAAGCTGAGGCTCCCAGACCTGTATGGCATTGGGGAGCTCCCGAGTGCAATTTGGAAATTTGGATCCCGAATGTCATTCGGGTCTGGGAGCCATATACATATATTACTAAAGCTGAAGCTCCCAGACCTGAATGGCATTTGGGAGCTCCAGAATGCAATTCGGAAATTCAGGTCTTGGAGAGACTCTAGGAGCCTCAGCTTTAGTATTATACGTAAATAATGTATATGGCTCCCATGCTGCCGTAACGAAAAATCGTGTTCAGTCCCATTCGGATGCATTAAACTTAAAAAAACACATCTGATTGGCCAGAAAAGTCACATGTCCGATTCAGTTTCGATTTTGAACGAAGTTCGGACAGGATCCGAAATTTGGAAACCGAAATTCGGATTCGTACACATTCGTATGCATTGGGATTTGGAAATTCGGATGTGTCCGAATGTCCGAATTTCGAAAAATGTGTCCGAATGAAATGAATCACACATGTCTAGCCTCCTAAAACATATCCCCAGGATCCAATAAATCCATGTCTGCAGTCTTTGACCATCTCTTGTTGCATGTTCCACCGTCTCCAACAGTTTTCTATACAATAACATTTACTGCATATTATGTGAAGCCCTTCGATGATGTCAGGGGCTTTATCTGAGACTCTCTATATCCAGAAAGTTGACCACCGCTGGTCTACAGCAAGCTTCTACTAACCTTTTGCAGATCTTCAAATACCATTTTTTGTTCCCTCCCAACTTCCTGAGATAAGAAAAGGGACACCTCCCAGCACAATGTATTTAGGCAATGGGCACACCCCCTGCCATGCCCTCAGATATGTGGACCATCAGGAATTTATATGCCAGAAATAATTGGTTATACTCAGAATTTAGTTTTTATCACCAATACTTTTCCATAACAATAGATTATCAGATAGCAAACAAGATAGTTAAGAGATAAGATGAAGGTTTTGGTTCAGAATAACACTTTTGGCTACGGTTGCCACCTGTCCAGGATTCACCCGGACAGTCCAGGTTTTGAAAGCTGTGTCCAGGTTTCATGGCAGCAGAAACCCGGACACCTGATGTCAGGCAGACAGGGGCAACCAAAATGAAGACAGGGGCTACTGGCCCCCCACTGAAAATAGTCTCAACTGTGATATTTACATATGAATGGGTGGTGCTATTTAAATATGAATAAGCCATGACCCATTCTCCCCAAAAAAATGTCAGCTCGACGCTAGAGTGTTCGGGTTTCGCTTGAAGAAAAGGTGGCAACCCTACTTTTGGCAGTTAATAGAACCTTTTCATAGGTATCTGTACATCAGACCAAAGAGAGGGACAACTGAGGAAGAAAGAGGGACAGAGCGATTTGGCGTCAAATGAGGGACAGTTGGGAGGTATGGCATCAGTTTGTTGAAGTTAGGTCTTAATACAAGCGATGAATGTCACAAGCAGCAGGCCTCCATATACTTTTAACAAGTTTCAGAAAGTTCTGAAGCTTTCTGAAAGCCTACTGAGACCTACTAGTGTGTTTAAAGTGACAGTCAACAATCCCATTAAGATCTGTACTTAAATACTGCCTTTAGGCGATCCCTTAAGACTCAACTCTTCAGGGAAGCCTATACCACCTCAAACTAACCACCCAACCATCACGTTGTCAAACAATTCATCCCCACACAGCTACCTCCTCATGTATCACCTGCCCCTCCATTTTAGATTGTAAGCCCTCAGGGGCAGGGCCCTCCTTACCATCTTATATACGACTGAGCACCGTGGCCAGGACGAATCCCGACATTACTGTTTGGATCCACCCAGGTGTGTGAGTGACAGCTGGCTCTGCCTATCTAGAGGCAGAGCCAGCTGTACCCGCCCCCTCCCCGTCCGTTCCGCCAGTCAGGCAGGTCCGGCAGGGGAGGGGGAAATCCCTGCAGGGAGCCGTGACTGACAGTCACCTCTCTAACAGGGAGATGATCGAGAAGTGAGCGAGCGACGGTATGTGTTCGCTCACTTCCCGATCTATTGAGCCGACCTGTGAAAGTTTCATTGTCACACGTCGGCTAGAACAATGAGGATGAGTGATTTTCACTCGCCTCATAGTTCTCCTTTAATTCTCGTCTTCCACATTGCAGGACATGATGTCATCTGTTTCCAGTGAGATTCCTGGAGACAATGAGTAACCTAAATCTCATTAGAAGGCACTCCAGCCCAGTACAAAACCATCTTTTCATGATATTTGGAATCCTCACTGTTCCCAGGACCTCTCCAGAAGGGTCGTGATGTCACCCTCTCCTAGGCTCCACAGTGAACAGGAGGTAAGGTAAATATATGATCTAACTTTTTTTCCTTACAGGTACATTTGTCAACTGCTATTGTTCAGAAATTTTTATGGGGGGGGCTCTGATCTAATGAAAGGACCTTTCTGATAAGTGGACTTTTCTAATAAACTGACCTCTCTAATGAGCAGACCTTTCTAATGAGCAAAACGTTCTAATGAGTGGACTTTTCTAATGAGCAGACCTCTTTAATGAGTGGACCTCTGTAATGAGTGGACCTTTCTAACAAGTGGATCTTTCTAATCAGTGTACCTTTCTAATGAGCAGGCCTCTCTAATGAGTGGACCTTTCTAATGAGCAGACCTCTCTAATGAGTGGACCTTTCTAATGAGCAGACCTCTCTGATGAGTGGACATTTCTAATGAGTGGACCTTTCTAATGAGCAGACCTCTCTGATG